AACTAAATTATACTTAAAGGGTAAAATAAAATGAGTAGAAAATGAGGGGGTTGAATGTCTAGAGGATTAAAGCATATTAACCGCTCAATATTAACCGCTCAATATATATTGAGTGGTCAATAAAAATAAACAAAAAAAATTAGGTACTCCAATAATAATAAGTGCTCAATATAAATAAATGAATAGTAATGAGTTTTAAAAAAAGCTCTCATCCGAGATGCTATAAGGTTAAAGGTAGGTCTTAGGATCTACCTAAATTTTCAATTTCATTTAGAATATATAGCAGAAAAATTAGGAACTACATTAGAAAAAGTAGAGGACCTACCTTGACTTTGTTTTTTTTTTAAATGTCTTTAAAACCTTTTTAAGAGGAGAAAAAATAAGTTACTAGGGCAATTTGTTATTTCAAATTATGGGATTGATAACAAAAAATTAACTACTCTTAATCGGAACTCTCATAATATCAATATCAATAAATAAATAAATTGTTCTAATAAAAAGAAGCTCAGATTTTTTAAGACTCTCACTCCCCGTTCGCTGTTTTATCAATCTACTAATAATAAACTAGTTTTCATTAAACCGTACAGTTGAACTAGTTGGTCCAGTCTTTTTTGAAGTACCCGACCCGACCCCCCACAAGTGTTAATTTTTTTTATTGGCTTCACTTAATTTAGGAACCATGTGACTTTTTGTTCTAGATTCACCATTGTATATAATATCAAGTTATTAGATTAGACAATATTTGTATGACATTTTTAATAAGCTATTGTGCTCTTGACCTGCCACTTCTCTCACACCGATCTATAGCATTGATCACATTTCATCTTCATGGCTCTAACTAAGAATCAGGTAATCAACTCATTATCCATTTTTTTTTTCCTTTTGTAGATCTTTTTGTTTTTCATGTTAAGGAATATGGTATTCATTGATGTTTTGGCCCCATTCTTGTGAACAAAAAAATAATAATGTACATGGTTACTATGGTTTTTGGTGTTGTTTAATTTCTTGCACTTATTTTTACTGGTTTGTAATTCATGGATTTGCCAAGACTTATTGGGACAGGTGGGGGTTTGCACATGAACAATTCTTATATTATTCCGTTTTCCAAAGAGGTAGCTTTTGGAGAACATTTGAAGGTGGAAGTTCAATCAGTCTCATCTGATGGGGGTAACAAACAAGTGAACAACATGTAATTGACTAAGGCACATTATTATATGGAATCAATGAAGGAAAAACTTAAAAGCAATCAAGCATGGACATAAACAAATGGTTTTGTTGTGTTATTACTTTTTTCTTGAGATTTTAAGACGTTGATGTGTCATTGAGCAATGACATGTTGCAAGAATTTTGATGAGTTTGACAATTCCTAGGTTCAACATCTTGATGTTCCTTTTTGTTGGTTTCACTATAGATACAATTTGATTGTGTATACTTCTTTCTTTTTATATTTTGTAGAGTAAATTACACGAATAGTCCTTATAGTTTGGAGTAATTTGCATGTTTGGTCCCTAACTTATTGTTTTAACTCGGAAGGTCCCTACAACTTGTTTTTGTTGCGCACTTGGTCACTGTCTTACCTAAAAATACTATTTTGCCCTTAATTTTTTAATTTATTTAAATAAACACACACTCAACCCCACTTCCACCTCACTTTACATTACCTTACCTACCTATCTTATTTAAATAAACTAAACAATCAATGGCAAAATAGTCTTTTTAGGTAAGACTAGAACCAAACACGCAACAAAAACAAACTGTAGGGACCTTCCGAGTTAAAAAAAAATAAGTTAGGGACCAAACGTGAAAATTACCCCAAGAACCATTCGTGTAATTTACTCTATTTTGTATCTTGAGGGATGTTTTAATAGAGATTCAATATAAAGTTTCTCATTCTTCACCGTAATACTCCAGTGACCTATACTGGTGTGACTACTACAAAATTGATAATAAAGAACAATTTTATTAGGTAATACTCTAAGAGGGTTGTTTTCGCCTCAACCGCTCTTTAGGAACATGTAATACAGAGTTTATATAAAGGTCAAACCCAAAGGTACCCTCTCCATTTCATTTACTTGATTGCTCTTTAGCAGACCATTTTTTTTTTAAAAAATATAATTAAAAATGTAATCAGATAACAATATGTTAATTAACATTACATCATTCTTTGGCAATCCCTCATCGCTTCTTAATCAAGAACCAAAATAAGCTATTACCCAAAATGGATCTCATTTTATTTTGATTTTGAATTCATCTACCAAGTAACCACCAAGTGCCACATTGATCCCTCACATGATTTTTTATAATAGCTCTGCCACAAACCACTAAACAATGACCAATAGTGCAAAGAAAAAACAATTATTTCAAGGAAAATAATGAAATATGCAAAAATTATAACGAATAAAATCAAAATGACGTACATGTTTACCAACTCATTGGTATTCCCTGCTGCCCTGCATATTTGAACTATAATGACTCACCTATATTGAAATCCAATAGTAAAATGTAAATCCATATAGATTCAATAAAAACATCAACATATGGAACCTAAAACTGATGTCATATCCTTCTATTATTATAATATCTTGAATAAATGAAGAAATAAATGAAAATAAGGATATAATGCAGGGACAACATTGGTATATAAGAACATGTCATACAATAAGAACCATCTACAGATCTATTGTTACATAGTAAATCAAACCCCCACCTGCAGTATTATGTGCTGGTTTCTCTATTTCTGTTCAAGTAATTGTTTTCCTCATACTAAACAGAATCAAATCAATCCATATTGTGCAAAATGTAAAGAATAAAAAATAAAGGAAGAGATTATATTACCTTTAAATGTTTCTGGTACATGAACACCCTAACCTAACTCCAGAACACAAAGTACCAAAAATCCATAAAATTCTATAAGCAAAAGACAAACGGAATGCTCAAACAAAAATCCCTAACTAGTTGCTTACTATGAAAATCAGTTAACAAAAACAACAACTAAAATGGTGAAGAAAGAATGAAAGAGCCCACAACTTGGATATTTTTTCCATGGTTCTGTCACCTTCTCATCATTATGCGATTCAAAATATGAAAAAAAAGGGGGGGAAATGATGTATAAGCCCTATAATGTTTCTAGGGTTGACCCATTTAGCCACTTAACTTATTTTGTGGCTTAATAAGGGAACGAATTATTTGTTACCTAACAATATAGTCCCTTTTACCTATTGTAGCCGGTTAACGTTGCCACATAAACCTAGCCTAACACGTAAGCGATGACATGGCAAGAATTTAAAGGGTCGAATAACCGCAACGACGTCGTATTGAAGGCGAATCGTAAGGAGCAAGGATCGATTGTTCAAGCGCCTCCATATAAAATCAAGACTTCCTTGACCTAAAACGGCACATCTGCAAACTTCATTACCCCAATCTCGTCTCTAAGTTTACTCCAAAATGGCTTCGATCGGACATACAGAACACAGCTGGTCTCCAAATTACCGCCGTCACATGGATGAGAATCATTCGAATGGTGTAACCAACAAAGACATGGCCATCAATCTACTGCAAACCCAGATGGAACTGTCTCTTATACGGGAGGACTTCCAAGACCAGTTGCGTGAGCTCCGTCAGGCAGTTAATCGACACTTAGATGCCATGAACCTTGAGGTCGATGACATTCGCGCTGGTCAGTTGGATATCTCAAATATGGTTGCTGATCTTAAAAATCATTTCGTTTCTCTGCAAGGAGCATATGTGAAGATGGTCTTCAAGGACAACAAATGTAAGAAGCTGATGTCTTGTGTTGTGATTGTTGGTGTTGTTTGTGCGTCTGTGGTGACTTATTTGGTGTTTAAGTAAAAAAATGTTGTGTAGATTGAAGCATTTCAGTCCTGGGTTTTTGTTTTGGTGTGTTGCCTATGTTGTTTAGTGTCAATATTAGTAGTAGATTTTGTGTGGGTTGCTGGTATTAGTTTGTGATGCTGGTGTGTAGATTTGGTGGTGGTGTTGCCTGGGCTGCTGATGGTCATCGTTTTTTGATGAAGTTTTTTGTCGATGATCTTTGTAATAGGTTATTGAATAGCAGAAAGTGATGTAAACAAACCCATGGGTGAAATGTGTTTTAATATGTTATTATTAAAAAAAAAATTGTCTTTCACCTGTATATGTATGTGTGCATGAAAGAAAGAAACATTTGGGTATTATATATGTTTCATAGACTGGGACGGGACCACAAGACAGTTGCAAAATGAATATACCTTCTTTATGCGCATAGACAGGGACCACAAATGGTGCAGTTTGGGAAAAGGGACAAAAAATACCTTTGCACACGATTGAACCATATCTGCTTGTCTGCAAACCTTTTTTGGAAAAAAAGGGAATCAAGTTTTCTAAAGATGGCCTTTTCATGTTGAATGGATTAAGTCACAAGTCCCCTGTTTTTTACAATGACTTAATTACCCCTGCATTAAAAATGGTCAATTTACTTTGTAATGACTTAATTACCCCCACATACAAAATGGTCAATTTACTTTGTAATGACTTAATTACCCCCACATCCAAAATGGTAAATTTAATTTCTAATGAGTAAAATGCCCCCACATCTAAAATGGTAAATTTAATTTCTAATGACTAAAATGTCCCCACATCCAAAAATGGTCAATTTACTTTGTAATGACTTAATTACCCCCACATACAAAATGGTCAATTTACTTTGTAATGACTTAATTACCCCCATATCCAAAATGGTAAATTTAATTTCTAATGAGTAAAATGCCCCCACATCCAAAATGGTCAATATAATTTGTAATGACAAAAATGCCCCCACATCCAAAAATGGTCAATATAATTTGTAATGACTCAAATGCCCCCACATCCAAAAATGGTCAATTTACTTTGTAATGGCTAAAATGCCCATAATACCCCTAAATATTCGTAGTACACCATAAAAGAACATACAAAGATCATTTGTTTACTGCAACACACATTCACTACAAATAACAAACAATTATTTAATCCAACTCCATGGCCGTTGCAACACTGCTACCTTCACCTCCCACATTTTTTGCAAGCTTCAGTTTAATGATTCGTTCTGACTTCTTTCGCATTTTAGGCGGTTTAACATGCTTAACTCGAGCATTGACATTCACCCCTTCATCCCGTCCATTGACTCCCACCATTCGCTCTTCATCTCCAGGCCTATCCAAAGCATCAGTAGCATCTACGATTACCTCATCATCCCCTACTCCTGTGTCAACGTTTACAGACTCCTGCATAGGTATAGTTTTTTGTTTCTTTGTTCCATTTTGTTTGGATGTCCCTACACCTTTACTACAAGTAGCCTTGTTGTGTCCTTTCTCCTTGCATATGCTACAAGAAACTTTCTTCCCTACCTTGGAGACGGTATGTTTACCCATCCGTTCAGAAGCATCTCTTCTTCTCTTTATGGTTGGCCTGCCTGGCATACTTCTTTTCAATGGAGGCAAAGGGGGTATCAAGTCAGTAGAAGGCCACATATTTTTTCCATTCATCCCATGGATTGGTTGTTTGTAAGTATTATGGTATAATGCAGCCAAGTACATTGGATCTACATATGGACCATCAGGTGTCAAATTTAAGTAGGCTAAGGTGGCAACTGAGTGTACGTAGCCATATCCATTAAGTTGCCATAGCCTGCAGCTGCATTCCTTTTTTTCAACATCCACAGTAAACGCCTCGTCCATTTTCCTTGCCTCAAACTTCATCCCCCCACAAGAAATGACATGCCAATGCCTACATATATAGATGAAAACCGCAAATATCATGAGACGTGAAGAGTAAAGTACTAATGTAATTGGATAAATGTACAAACCTTTGCTCAGTTTTGAGCATATTCAACCGTATTATGATATTTGGACAAATAGAATAACGATTTCATCCTTGTCCGGTTAGTTTCATAGTCACCATCCTTTGCATCACATATATACGAATGTCCTCTAACATGCTTATTATTGGTTTCTTCCGGGCATCCAAAAGCACACTATTAAAACTCTCTGAAAAACCATTCTCTACTGACTCACAAGAATTATGAACTCTGAAAAAAGCCAAAGACCAAGTCTTTGGATCTCTATCCATAAGATGCACAACTGCTTCCGGATTTAATTTTCCAATCTCTTTCATAACTACATTAAATTGTGCTTCAGTCGTTGCCTTGCTCGCTTTCCAAAACAGATTTTCAAAATTGGATCCACTAAATCTCTTTCTAAAATTTGCATAGATATGTCTAGCACACTGCCTATGTTCAGCTGCTGGAAATACTTCCTTTACTGCCTCAATCAAACCCTACATAAGACACATTAATGTTTGAAAATCGAATAGCAATAACTAAATTTAGAACATGCAGTAGTTTTGAACCATACCTTGTATTGATCCGAAATTAGAACCAAACCATTACCATCATTCCAAGATTGCAAATCTTCTGAAGGAGTTTCTAAGAACCATTTCCAATTCTCTTTGTTTTCCACAGAAACAACTGCCCAAGCAATCGGGAATATTCCATTGTTAGCATCTCTACCCACAGCACAAACCAACTGCCATTGACAAAAAGTTTTTAGAAAACAACCATCCAGGTTAATGATCCTCCTACATCCTCCCCTTCATCCCTCTTTTACTGAAGCAAAACATATGTATATTTTGCTGAAATAATTCTTACCATCAGGCATTGAATCAGCACAAATTTTAACTGTGGATCCAGGAATTGATCTTCTAATCTCCTCACCATATGACCATAATCTTGCATAATTCTCAGCTATTGTCCCTTCAACTAGAGTCAATGCATACGTCTTGGCTCTCCTACACTGACTCATACTCACATTAATCCCAAAATCGGTTTTTACCTCCTCTCTAAGCATTCGGACGCTCATCTTTTGATTGTTATAAAATTGGTGCTTAAAGTGGGTCCCTATCCATTTATAAGTCACAATTGATCCGAATTTGAAAATTCTTTTCACAATTATGCTCACCGATAAGAGATTTTATCTGGAAAGACTTATCTTCACTCATCCAAGAACCCCAAAGCCTAAAAGTACATTTGCCATCACAGCATTTTACAAGTAATCGTCTAGTATCATTCTTAACAAAACATAATTGATAACCATTCGCGACAACATAGTTACAAAGCATGTGTTTCAATTGCTTAGGACTCTCAAACCTCATACCTAAAACAGGTTCCTGCTCCTTCCAATTGAGCTTATCATTGAAAATGTTTGGCAATTCGGGATAAACATCTTCATTGTCACCCATGTCTTCTTCGAAAAACTCACCTGCACCTGCTTTCTCGCCCATCTTTTCCTTAGGACTCTCATTACCCTTTATATAAAAATGAGGCTTCTGATGGTCATCCTCATCGCTATCGACATCCTCATCCTCGTCGTCATCATCGTCGCCATTGTCTTCCTCATCGTTTGTGTCACCCACATCCCGATGCCCTGGTGCAACTTCCTTAACCAGTCCTGCACCATCAAGTACTTCTTCCTCAACGTTACCAACAAACTCGTCTTTGTGTTCATCCAACCATTCCTGTATGTTACTATTCCCAAAATGGTCTACATACATAGGGAGTATAACACCACATTCCTATGCAATTGCTATGAAGTCGTAATAATCGGGGTCATTGCAAATTAGAGTCAAACTTTTTGGAAAATCAATATCAGGTTGGCAGTAATAGAGCTTCTCACACTTTTCCCCGGTGAACCTTTCGATGAACGCAACACACCCATCCTTGTCCATTCCTGCGAAATCGATGTCTGAAAACCTCTGAGTAATTCCACCGGTGTAGCGTATGGGGTTTCTGGCGAACATTCCTTGGAAGTGGACATCTACTTGTAAGAATACGGGTTCCATGCTTGAGGATTCAGAAGCAGCTCACAAAAAAGGGTTTACCGATGAAGTGTTGAACAGTGGATGTAAAAGGGCTCTTTTATAAAGCATATACGGACATTAAGAAGGAGGCGACTAATTAATGACATGGCATTAGACGAAAGTCACAGTCAGCATCCGATGTGGTCTTATTAGAAGGAGGTGGACTTAAAATGACCGGCTAACCCCTTCAAAGTTGAAATAAGGACTTAATCGACCCGACAAAGAGTAATTCGTTCCCTTATTAAGCCACAAAATAAGTTAAGTGGCTAAATGGGTCAACCCTAGAAACATTATAGGGCCTATACGTCATTTTCCCAAAAAAAACCGCCCAAAAAACCCAATTCAAACGATATAGGTGAAAACACTATTAGATTAAACAACATTACAAGATCAATCGTGGTTAATAGTTCATATTAAGCAACCGATTGTCATGAAAGTTAAGCACAACCTGTTAAGGGCATGAAACTTACCCGAGAGAGAGAGAGAGAGAGAGAGAGAAGCGAAGGTAAAAAGAGGGGTTTGAATATGGAGTAAGGCAACCAGTATGAGACGGTGGTCGGATGCAAAGAACACACCAAACAACGGAAAATATTTTCCGATTTTTGCAATTTCGATTTTGAATAGGAGGCTAAGCCGGAGGAGGGAACGACACCAAAAAAGGTGAGTGAGCGGGAGGAGTTTGGCAACTTGGAGGCAACCGAAAAATTGGTCGAATAGGGTAAAAGGGTTTCAAGTTTTAAGAGTGGACGGTACGGGACACAACGAGCAACAACGTTGCTGAGGTGGAAGTCGGAAATGCAGTCGTAACGGGGGAACACCGCCCCCAACTCGTTGCATCTCGTCGCGGTGGATTTTGTGGCCGTTACCACCGGGTGAAACGGAAAAAAATTGGACCGTTGCTATTTAAACGTTTGACTTAATTAAAAAAAAACTTTAAAATTATTTATTATATTCCTATATAAATACCTATTATCTAAATAATTTTTTACATATAACTTCTCTTTTTCTCTCTATATAATCTCAATTATCTTCAAAAAAAATTATGGATCCTTTCGACTCGTCCGATGATTCCGATGACGATATATTCTTCAGGATGATGTATCATTATTATACTAACGAGCTGCTACAACCAGACCTAGCCCCACTACTAATAAGACGTGTGATGTTAAACAGAAATCGTGAAGAAGGACACGAGCATCTATATCGCGATTACTTTGCGGATAATTGTGTATACGCGGCGAAGGACTTCAAAAGAAGATTTCGTTTGAGTAGGAATGTGTTCCTACGGATCACCAACGCCTTGGAAAGCTGTTATCGCTTCTTTACTATACTTTTATACAAAATAAATAAAAATCTACTACATGTTTCTTTAAATTTACAACAAATGTACTATATTTTTAAACTGAAGTTAATTTATGTTTAGGTATGATTTTTTTCAATTGAGATATGATGCTAGAGGTAGACGAGGGTTTACAACGTTGCAGAAATGTGTTGCGGCTATTCGTTTGATGGCTATGGGGGAGTCACCTGACGCCATGGACGACTATATGAGAATGTCCGAAAGAACCGCAAGGGAGAGTTTGTAAACATTGTCAAGGGGTGTTGTTGAAACATTTGGAGACGTGTATTTGCAGAAACCTTCGTTGCATGATTTGCAAGAATTGTATGCGGCGCATGAAGAACGCCATAGGTTTCCCGGAATAATCGGAAGCATTGATTGCACACACTGGAAATGGAAAAATTGTCCGGTAGCATGGAAAGGGCAATACGCAAGTGGTCATCACGTATCACCTTCGTTGGTTTTAGAGGTTGTTGCTTCTCAAGATTTATGGATTTTGCATGCATTTTTTGGGGTTGCGGATTCCAACAACGACGTCGACACTCTTGATCAGTTGTCAATATTCGACAATCTTTTGAATGGAAATGCCGCGAATGCTCCTTTTACGGTGAATGAAAACGAATACAAATATGGGTATTATCTTACTGATGGAATATATCCTCAGTATTCCACATTCGTGAAGACATTCCGCCACCTGGTTGAAGAACGAGACAAATTTTTTAAGAGAAGACAAGAAGGACCACGTAAGGATGTGGAACGTGCTTTTGGAGTGCTGAAGGCGAAGTGGCATATAGTTGAACATGCAGCCCGACCATTGGATTTAGAAACTCTACGATATATCATGTATGCATATATCATAATGCATAACATGGTAGTAGAAGATAAAGGGCGAAATATTGCACACTATATCCCAACAGATCCCAGACACGTTCAGTTTCAACCAAGAACAACAGAGTATTTGCATCGAGTTGTTGACATTCAGGACGCAAATAAACACAGACAACTTCGAGATCACTTGGCGGATTATATCTTCTATGGTAACAATAACGATAATGAATAGCGTTTAGTTTTAAAAAAAATGTTTTTTTAACGAATAGCGTTGTATTTTTTTTGTTGTTGGAATTTGGATGTTATGTGTACTTTAATTTCTATGTTAATTTTAATCTTTAAAAACTGTTTTTATTATATGTTATTTATAATTTTTAAACATTATGTTTTATTTATTATGTCATATTTAAAAAATATTTGTGTAAATTAAAAAAAATTATAAAATTATAAAATGGAAAAAAGTTGGTGTTATAACAAGATGCAACATGGTGACAATTTCCCCACTTGGTGTTATTGATGGGTTTTGAGCACTACAACATTTCTATGGTGTACATGCAAACCCTAAAGCTTTGGATCTAGTTTGTCTAATGAACATGCAATAATCATCCAAAGCCATAAACCCTAGATCTAGCATGTGATAATCAAATAACATATGAAATAGGGTTTAGATATTACGTTGATTGTTATGTAGCAATAACAATCTTAATTCCTTCTTGTAATTGGCTTCTAAAAGCTTAGAGTCACAAATGTCACTCCTCTAATGGCTCACAATCACCAAAAGCAAGAGGATGAAGAAGGAGAAGAGTAGAGGCACTCAAAAACGTCTAGAAACCCTAAGGAATTAGTTGTCCACGTTTTTGGTGCCCTAGGGGTGCTTAAATAGTGAGGCTATTAGGGTTATCTAACAAGGAAACCCTAATTTGACTGCTTAGGCCCTAAGCAACCCATGGACTCCTCCTTTAGAGGCCTTGGACGATTTCTAATGAGTTTTCCCATAGATTTCGTCCACCCCTCTAATAAGAAGTCCATTAGCCCAATATTCAACTATCACACAATTGATAGTTCTAGTCCCCTAAGTTTAATTAATCTCTTTTAGCCACAAAATTAGTTCTTAATTAATTATTGACTAATATCAATTAAATAATATGATTTCTCCTTTAATATATTATTCTCATAATATATTAATAAATCATAATTAATCATCTCTCTCTCTCTCTCCATAATTCATCCTATCAAGTTGCTTTGGTGAAGGCAACCCAAAAGGACCATGCACCATCGGGTCAAGTACATACCAAAATAGTTATGGACTTAGACACTAATCCAACAGTCTCCCACTTGGATAAGTCTAATAACTATTATGCGTATGACTTCAGATCCTGATCTGCAATCGTAGCTTTCAAAAACCACTGTCAACTCTGATCTTATCATATACGCGTCCTTTAGATAAGGGATCATATATTCCTCCATTCTAGATATCGTATAGACGTGAGACATGGATTGAAATCATTCTCTCAGTCTATGTGTTGTTTCCCGATTTCCGATTTATGACGACTGACTAATTGAACAAATCAAATCAGTCCTGGCCCGGCCGAGCACTTTCCTTTGTCATCACTAAATCATCGAGGGGCCCACAAATATCGCTTTTATCCCACTTTGGGTAAAAGGAACGGATAAACTTCGACTCAATGCTTGCTTGTACTCACTCACGAATCACACACAACAATACGTTTTATAACACCAAGTTACTGGTGCGTTTACATATTATCAATGTGCAACCGACTCGCAAGATACAACTCACACATCTTGGTTTCAAGATTACAAGATATTATCGTCTCACCAATCACTCGTGATAAAAATCCATGAAGCGATTCAAGTGAGCGTGGGTTTAATCCAATGCTCAAATCATATTCATAAGCACTCATGAACGTTGTAGCAAGCTTTTGCTATGTCTAATACGCTTTAGACAATCTACACCACCAATTCATGACAATCTTCTTTCATACCTACTCCCAAAGTATGAGCGACTGTGGAACGTTCGAATAATCTTATTATTCAGGAAGTCAAAACATGCAAATTGAAACACAAGAATAATACTAATCTTATATGGCCCCAAACTTTTGAGTATAAATAAAACACTTTTATTTAATCACCATATTAATTACTCATTATTTGTTGTTTCGGTTAATCAACTTCTTACTTGAATTATAACGACAATTGTCCCATGCTATTAGCATGCACACTATGTTTACTTATGGTCCTTACTCTGTGAAATAGTATAATTGAATAACATTTTCAATCACTTCATTTTACAATTCCCAATCCTTACCACAAGTGTAAGAATACCAAATTCTTGCCACATAGAATATGATAGATTCTAACACTTTATGCAACGGTCCTTTCGTAACGTCATGGCACAAAAGTCACCAAGACTCGGCCAATGAAATTACAAAATTCTCTATTGGAGATTGTTACAAGACAATTCCATGGATGTGAAGTCTCACATTCAAAGTACATTCCTTTGAACATT